CACGTTGAGTCATCATCGGAATGTTCTCGTATAAAAAAAAAACAAAAAAACAGGAACCGCTCGGGGAAAAAGGCAATCAGTGCCAGTGCACCAACATTAATCCATCATTTCACTACACAGTAAACAGGGACCGAGTAAAGAATACATAATTTCCTTCACAAGCCCTATAAACAAGCCTTCACAAGCCCCTCTATACGGGGCGCCATCTATCCCCGTGCGAGCGAAGCGCGCTCGGTGCGCCGAACATAATGTGGTCGCCGCGCGAGACAGGGAGTCATCACCTAAATGTATTTCTTCCACCGTGGGTACTACAAAGGGTGGCATCACCCTTAACAGAAGGACATTGAGGCACCCCAGTCCGTCCGATGTCCGGCGTCTGGGGCTCGTGCTCCTGCTCGTGAGCTCACGCGCTCACATGCTCACGAGCACGTGAGCACGTGCTCCCGTGCTCGTGTGGGGCAAAAACAAACAACAACCGCATCTCCATGTGGTGAATGGTGTTGATTGGGGCGAAGCTCTGGTGGTGCTTGTCTGCGTAGACGGTGAGCCACAGCATGTCAAGCCTTTTGTTCGTTTTCATCCATGTCAGAAAGAGAATGTGTGGTAGGGAACGTGGTTACATACGCATTTGAGCATTTGACCGCAGCGTGACATGGATGAAAACGAACGAAAGGCTCGGCATGCTGCGGCTCAGCGTCTACGCAGACAAGCACCCACCAGAGCTTCGCCCCAATCAACATCATTCACCACGTGCAGATGCGGTTGTTTCTTTTCTTCAATCAGCCAATTAGAGCTTGCGTTGGGACATCATTGCTACTCCTGTGCAAGAAGCAGACGAACCTGCGCTCCGCATTGCTTCCGTGGGGAGAGTCGAGGCGCGAGGCGAAGAGATGGCCTGCGCGAGACGAAAGCCCTTCTTGAACGAGGGACTGCGTACGAACGTAGCAAGCTGAGGAAATAAAGTATCCCAACTCCCAAGGCAAGAATAGGCCTTAGCAGGCGACACAGTTTGTCAAGGGAGAGATCGCACTGTCACGGCCACTCGATTAGGACTCCCCTTGGGAGCGGCCTGCCGTATGCCTCACTCTGCCGGTGAGAGCAATAGTTCTACTTTACCCCGCAGCGCCAGCCGTGGCGATTGTTATCGGTGAGAAATAGAGTTCCTTTCGGGGGAGCCATATCGAGGAACTCTATACTTCGTTTCACGTTAGTATGTACTTGTTAGCCGCGCGTGCTAAAAGCGCGAGATAGTTGCTTCGAAGGAAGCCTCCGCGGCTGCATGAGTGCTCGTGCAGCGAGTGCTCCAGTCAAGGTAGTAAAGGCTAGCCGCTCGCGCTAGCACAGCCTTCGCTGTTAGTCCATGCTAAGGTAAGACGAAATATAGGGAGAGAGGAGCAGTACGCCCGGCCCGGCCCGGTGTGGCTATTTAGATTTTTTTTTTCGTAAAGCCGCAAGTCTCAATTGAAACGAGTGCCAGATTGCATGAATGATGTGACAAATCTGTGTAGAATAAAAGCACATAACTCTTTCTGCGAAAAGCTCTCTCAGCTGCACGCTTCGCCTTAAAGCTCCATTCTGCTGGAAGTATGAGCGAATTGTCGTTTTCTTGTTCCCGTAACTGTTGCCCCGTTTCTATTACCACTGCAATATAGGAGTTACAGTTGGATATAAATAGGGCCGTATGATTTCCGGTTTTAACCGACGCTCGAGCACGCGCGAGCTGTGCCATTTATTCATCTGTGAAGGACAATATAAAATCGGATTCCGCGTGCATAACTTCAGCAATATAAACTTCATCGTTCACAAAAAACAGACCAAGGGAGTCATATAGTTCACAAGCGGAGTACCTTTCGGGAAGGCTTCCGCGAAAGCCTCGATATATTCTCTAGTGGGCTGTTTAGGTCACCAGCCCAGTTTGCCAAAAAAGGCCTGAGGAGTTTTCTGAGAAAGAGCTCGCAGAGCTCTTCGCTGTGGTAGGGGTCTCGGCAGTTAACACACCACATCACCGGGCAGTCCATAAGGTGTTAATGCACGGCGCTCGAGAGGACCTTGCACATCCTTCCACAACCACGAATCTCTGCCGACTGTAGAGCCCTCTCGACAAAGGTGCAGACGAGCTTGCACAGCCAGAGAGCTTCAGGTCGTGGATAGCTGAGTCCTCCTTGGTCAAGGCTAAACATGGACTGATATGCTCCGTCCTGTGATGCATTTCCCTCAAGTTGCGCTTGCATTCAGGACACGTAACCTGCAAAGTTTAGCGGATTCTACACATTAGCCTTCCTTGGTTTCACTGAGAAATTCTTATTGCTTTGCTAGATTGAATGCTTCAGCTAATTACTTTGAAATTACGACAATTTCTACAAATAAAAATGGTCACCTTTTGTTCGCAAACGAAGGCCAAGTAGCCAGCCATGTAAGTCAGCGGTGCGAACTTAAGTTCGGAAGAGACTTCATTGTACTTCATCAACTGCAGGATTTCCAGCTTCACGAGCGGAGTTGGCACATTTCATCGCCATCTGGCACTCAGAACTAGAACGCGCATTTACATTTCCGGCAGATTCTAAAATGCCAACACACACCACACACGCGAGCGCAGAGTGACACTACGATATTTTCGCCGAGCACAGCGGTGCATAGGGGGAGGGGGGGGAAAGCGAGTTTTGCTGCCTTCTGCAACCGCGGCAGCGCCTCGGTATCGGCGAAGCCAATGACAGGCAGATATTTTATCTGGGTAGCGGAGCAAAAGTGCGTTGGGCACCTTCTCTATACTCCGTTTCACCTTATGTTGTACCTCAGCGAAGGCTGGAAGCGCGAGCTCATAGCGTTGACAGCTGCCCTTACTGCACGAGAGCTTGAGCCGCCGAGATCTGCCCCAGAGCAAGGAGCTCGCGCTTACAGCCTTTCCTGCGGTACACTGGGTGAAACAGAGTATAGCTTTCAGCTCACAAGACCGCTCACTAGGGTGCCTACATGTTTGTCTGTCTCAGGGTGAAGACATCCAGTGTTGTCCTGAATCTGCCAGCGCGTGACGCTCTCACGCACTCGGTGCGTGACTTGGGCGGTAAAATGGCGTCTATGCATTAGCCAAAGCTACGCGCTCGAGCTTAGTGACACCGGATTGCGCGCACTTCGAAATGCATGAAGAAAAAGATTGGGCGGAAAAATGGCTGAGATGTCACCACTCAAGCAAAAGCGCGCGTGTGCATGAAGGCACTCTACCGCTCACCGATGTGCAGCGCCCCCACAGAAAATGGGAGAAGTTTTCCTCTCACGCGCGCTCTTTTGTTTTCGGAAAGACATCGGCAGGCCGCACCAACAGGGGGGATCGAGTGGCCGTGGCACTGTGGTCTGTGTTGAAGCGCTGCTATCACGGTTGTTCGTCGGAGACATCAAAGTATCTCGGAGTTCTCGCCTGTATTTTTCTTTCTGGTTTTTGAAACACCATTTGGGTCTTGGCAAGCCAGCTTGCTATGTTCAGGCGGGCTCCCTCACCCAGGCGGTTTTACCCCCATTTCAAAGACGACCATAAAAATGGATAACATGATGAAATAAGAAAAAAGGCATCGCCATTGAAGGTTCACCAGCGAAGGACGACCGCGTCCACCGGTGTAAGCTTTTTTCTAAATTTTCAAAAATGCATGGTTATAACTTTCCACAGGAACTAAGCTGCGCCGAGAAATTTCACAGGAGTGCGTCCAAAACTAAAATACGCCTTTGCTTAAAATGTCAGCTTTCTACATGCAGGCGCCCGATTTTCCAGTGCATTTTACATCGACACCGGACGCCGTATGGTTACTACCAGGGCCGTTTCGGCTACTACTATTGGACCAGATTGTGTCAGCATATCTCAATGCTTCGTGACAAGAATTTTGAATGAATGTATGAACACGCGATATAAATATTGATAATAAACCTTCTATAAACTGTAAAATCTTAGTGATGGTTGTTTTTTCAATTTTATTTTTTTTCCTCCCCCTTCCCCCATTATTTCGACCGCTAGCACCACGCCCACTCCCCCCCCCCCCCCCCCCCCCCCCCCCGCGTAACAGACTCTTCCGGGGTCGCTGTTCGCCACGGAGGGGACAGACAACGAGTCCCCAGGCGCCGGTGTCTCCGGTAGGCGAACAGATAGCGGCTCACGAGACGCCCATAGACTTTAAACCGGAACTAATGGCGAAGCGCGCCGTTCTGCGCTTGCCTCACACTGCTGAGGTCACGTGCGGCTCGTACTCGTGGCTTCCGAAGCAGGCGCAGGACGGAAGCATCGGCGCAGGTGGACAACATTCGTAAAAGCCCCCTTTTAATATCCTTTTCTTTTTTTTCATTTTGGCGATAAAGATATGTTTTTTTTTCTTCAATATGGGTAATTTTATTCCGTCAGCCACTGCCGTTTACAGGAATCGCATAAAAAAAGAGACCGTCCCTAAAACTCCTCCTTTAGCGACGGTACGCTTCGCGAAACTTGTGCGTCGGCACCTTGTACTGCAGTCTCCAAACATTGGCTTAGGCAGGCAAAGTATTAAGAATGTAAATAAAATAGGTTATAAAAACGAAACTCTTTAGTGATCTTAATTATTTAACTAAATCAAAAGACTAATTCGAAACTACATCCTTACTTTTCCAAGTTAATTCCTAATTCTAATTTTCCTAGATTTATTATACGTTTCGGCCACGTTAGCAAAATATTTTGTACATTATTTTAATCCTACAATAAAAGTAATTTGGCGACATCTTTTTAGCAATTGCTTTTCGGTCGCTGTTTTGAAGCCACGCTGTTTCAAGGTTGCGGTGTTTTGAGGCGCTTTTAGCGGACGCAGTTTGGTCGCGTGAGATGCCATGGTGCCGATAAATAGACATTCCTCAACTCTTCTGCGCACCTCGTTGATTTAGGTTCGAACATACGCTGGCACAATCGCCAATCTCTGTGGTAGTGCGGTGTTCCAATTCGAGACGGTATAAGCGCCCGCGTACAGTGACTCTGACTTCACGTTTATTAGAACTAGATTCACAGGAACAACATGTATCACGAAAGAAATGTCACCAGGTTGTTTCGACGATTACTTGTCGCACAAAGCTGTGTTTCTCGGTTCACAGTGCGCCTGAAATCCCTGGGTACGACGGCACGCGAAGGAAGTCCTCACTGGGGGTTTCGGTGGGCGGTCGTGCACACGCAGTCGTTGCGTCGTCCCTAGGTCGACAGGTTGGACCCTTCCTCCCTGGTGGTGCTCGGCAACGACCCGCCTGCGTGAAACGGGAAACGTTGAACACTACCGAGCATCCCAAATCCTCGCTTTGGCGGAATTCGCCAGCGTGCCGATGCGAACTTCCGCTGTCTATGACATGCGCGCATTTCTACTGAGAATCATGATGCTCACGAAACTCGAGAGATCTACCGTCGCTCCGATCCGCTCGATGCATCGGCGATGGGGCGTCGTCGGAATGTACACGATCACGTGGCAGCCAGGCGTTCTTCGGCTTCGAGCTGCGCTCAACCGAACTTCACTAATAGATAGCGAGTTTTCGTAGACCGTTCTTCCCCCTCGGCCACGCTGTCCGCAACGAAGACGCCACTAGTGCGCATGCGCGAGCCTTGCCTGCGGGGTTCGGATCTCCTACCGGGTCCCGGAGAGCATTGCGGCACGGCGGAAACGATATTAGAAAATTCCTTTGTCTCTTTCAGCAGGAGATCTGCAGGAGAAACTCGACGCCCATATTCCCTCTAAAGCTCGACGGTGCGGCACCACACATGCAACAGCAGCCTTTTTTCACAGAACCAACTTCCGTCCTTGTGTCTGCTCGCTATACATTCTCCAATCATAAGTCAGCGCTGTGGCGTTCCACCTCTCTGCCTACCCGACAACCTTCCCATCAAAGCTCGGCTCTGTGAGGTCACTTTACCCTCTGCAAAAGAAACGGACATACTTGCTGCAGGTATGCTCGCTATAGTTGGGCTCCTTGCGGAGCCTTTGCCCTCTTTATGTGGTGAATTCGGATACTTGTGTATATCCCGTCAACACGCAGCCAGAAAACAAGGAGCGTGCACAGGATCTCGTGGTGATTATATGCCCCCAGTCTTGACCATAGCCTCATGCTATGATTGGAAGAGGTCAGGTTTAGAGTTCCGATATTTCCCTCCTTGCAGTGCTTGGGCACGAGCTACAATCGTCACCAAGGGGAATAATCGCCACATCAACATTGCGATACCCGCGATCACGTCGCTTTACGAAGGAGGAACTGAAAGAGATATTTCGATTTTATCCGTGAAATTACAGTGTGACTACAATGTCAGTCGCGTTGCGTGCGGGTATATTTGTGTCATGGTAGTGGAAGTATACGCTTGTGCAAAGTGAGAATCATTTCCACCCAATATCGCTGCATGGCCCCTTTGAAGAGATCATGGAATTGCATTGAGTTGGAATTCCGTCACCTCTGTATCGGGCAGTGTGTTGCAAGTTAACAAGCATATACGGGCGATTAATGAGAACATTAATTTTCGCTGTGAAATTTAATTATATGAGCGGACGGTTTTTCTCCTCATCTTCGTCGTGCCGTGTACAATTTTCAATAATGACGTATCAAGGGACACGCAGGTCCATTGGTAAACCTCCCCTAGGGTTGTGCTCCTAGCTACAACGTCAAAACACTTCAATATACTGTTACTTAACGGTTAGGGCAAAAGACGCATCATTTTGAGGCTGGCGCAATGATTATTCAATGGGCTAACGAATATGGGGGATCGCATCCATGCCCAACAACTATGGCAGCTTGAATCATTTAATATTTACGGTGTCTGAAGTACAGTACGCGTTCTTAGCACGACCAACCGAGGCTCGTGGCTGAATCAACAGTTGCGCTCAAAGACGTAATAGCTTTTCTGGCGACGATATCAGGGGCTTAAATCGGGGATACCAAAAGAGAAAAAATCGCTTCGGATTGTACCGCCAAGCGGCACAATCATAGTAACCGTCGCTGACACTATGGCGTGGCCGAATATACCGCCGTCACGTCACAACGTCACGGCGTTGGCTATGGTTACGACTCTCAGCGGCGCGACCCGACACGGTTTTTGCTTGCTCAAATGTGTGAGTAATTAATGTTAAAGGAGAGGTGCAGCGTTTTTTGCACTTTGCGTACTACCACTTAGATTAAATTACTGACGTTTATAACCTATGAAATGCCGTTGTTTTTCCCTAATGCACAGGTAGCCGCAAAAAAAAAATTAAATAAAAACAAGCAGCGTTTTTTTTCTTTTAGCTCGCAGCCAGGGCTAGCGGCCACGTGAGCTAGAGCCGGTTATAGACCTTTCCAATGTTTACAAATCCACAGCTCAGCGTGCGATCTCCACAGCTCAGCACGCGCGTGTACGTCGCTTCGGAAAGCGAGCAAATCACGCGCGATACGCACGAACACTGAAAATGAAACCGGCCAGCAGCCCTTTTCTGGAAAGGTCTATACATGACACAGATGTTTATCATCGCCACGCGCTGGGGCTGACAAAGCACAAGACACGCGCTGAGTTCCAGACATCGTTAGTTTTCGGCTATTTTCGCAATTGCAGCGATTGGACACGAGCCACTACCCGAATGCTTGTTGAGCTGTTGATTATCGCGAGCCCAAATCGAGTGCTCACGCAATGCTCGGGTCCAATCTATGAACAGCATTCCAGTATTGCCATTGGGGGACTATGCGAACACTGCGACGTCCAAACTAAGTCATCAAGTTCTATAAAGAAACTGAAAGAAAACGCTCTGTTTTCTTCTTGAAAATATACAGAAACAGAGAGGTTTCTTGGTCAAGGGCGTAGCGTGCGAGTATACTTGGGTCCCAGTACTGGCAGTAAGCTCGTGTATAGTGAAAAACATTTCAACTGAATATCGTTGCACCATCCCTTCAACGATAAAGCGATAAAATTCACTTTTTCGCGTCTCTCGTGCCCTAGTTCCATATTAGCGACCAACAGTAAAAAGCAATGAGGATCACACTCAAGCAAGTTCGAAATTCACGCGAAGGAATACTTGGGCAGGCTTGCAATCTCTCGGTGCTCGTGAAGTAAGCACGAGATACTGACACGGATAAACGCGACGAGGCGATGAATAATGAACTGAAATGGACGTATAATGGGGCGACTTGTGACCAAAATATACAAACAACCAATAGGGGTAAATAAAGACAAGTACAGAGCGACGTGAGCGTCGGAGCCGGCCTGAACGCAGAGTCGAGCGCTGGCGAAGGAGTGCGTCGACGTCGGGAAAGTGAGTCTGCACGGTCACGTTTGGCTCCTTATCTCCTACACTGGGTGTCTCGAAGATTCAACCTATAGAATTCTCTGGAGTGAGCTAGGGCGAGACTGACCTAGCAAGGTCGTGTTTACCTCCTTACCTTTTCCACTCGGGGTAAGAGTAAACACGTAACACGGGGAACCGTTCCTTCTCGATCGTGAACGCGGCAAGATTTCCACCTGCCAAGGATACCTTCTCGTGCATGCTGTACGTGCTTGAATTTGGTCGTTTTCGATCGCTGCTGTTTGTCGCTCAGGTGGTGATAAAGACCATTACAGAATTGTGATTCTGGCCGATACCATTTCCAGTGTTCGTGCGTACGGGGTGTGCCTCGCTCGTTGTCCAGAGCGAAGAGACGCTCGTTCTGGGCTGTGGAGATGGCACCCTCGATTGTGAATTTGTAAACATTAGAGTGCTTGGCCATTTCTGAGAAATCGACGCCACCTGGTGGGAGATGTCGCGGCAGGTCCACTCAACTATGTTCTTCACGTTTGGGTAATTTAGCAAGATGTATATCACTCTTGAGCGAGGTACTCCGGTGACATTTCGGTACTCCGGGGACATTCAGTGAGTCTAGGCGGGCTGATATAAAGACCCTTGGTGCGTTCGTCTTACAAGTAGCGTCAAATGCGCCAATGCACGAGGCGTGTGCCTCGTGCGGCCCTTCGAAGCAAATGGCAGCTCAGCACTGAAATACGTGGCGCTAGGAAACCAACGGCGACAGATCATCCGCGGGTGGCACGTGTACTGCGTGTTCGCAAAACAATGGTTGGCGGTACCTGTAAGAAAAGAAAAGCGCGAATTTTCTATCAAGGGCTTTAGGCTGATAGTCCACCGGGTGCCAAAGACCGGACGCGCTGCGAAAAAGCGCCAGTCGTTCAAGGAAGCTTGTCAACTTTCATCTACAGCAACGCTGGTTTTAGAACCTTGACTAACCTTCATTGTGTTTGTTTTACCACGCCGCCCTTGTGTGCGGCGAGATGCATATATTTATATTATTATATTTATTCAGTTCTTTTGTACGTTTGAGTTAATGATTGTCATATTCAAATTCAAGGAATGAAAATACTCAACAATTCACCTCTAACTGAAACTACCTCTGGGGTCGCGGGTTGCCGACCCCTGCTATAAAACATGCGTTCACTGTTGGTTTCAGGCACTATCGAAAAAATCCCGAGAGGCTCTTGAATGGCCGCGAGTTGGAAGCCCTCCAACTCGTGGTCAGTACAAATTTTGAGATGTTATTTTTTCGATCGAGCCGCCAATGTTCGTCCCAAACACGCGATTAAATATAAAAGAATCAAGAGCTACGCCTTACAGGGACCGTGCAACGATATTGGCTTGAAACATTTCTCACTTTACACAAGCTTACTGACACTAATGTGACCCAAGTATGCTCGAAAGGAACGCCACTGACTAAAAAGTTTCTTTTCCCCGGTATAATTTCAAGGATAAAATCTAACTTTTTCTATCAGTTTCTCCTTCGCAAAATTTTTTGATGTAGTAACGGGAATCAAATCGTTCCCACCTGGATTTCCCCATAATGGAGATATCCAAATGCAACTTATAGGAGATTGGACACCACCACAGCGTGACTCCTCGACTTGGGGTCGTGACTGTCAATGCGTCGACGAGCAATCGGGTAGTCGCTCGTGTCAAATCACTGCAGTGTTGGGAACAGCCGAACCCTAACAATGCATGGAGCTTAGTATTAGTATTAAATCACATGGCCTCTCCTTCCGGCTGCGAGTTGCGGGGATAAACGGAGCTCATTTTTTTCCAAATATTGTTTTTCGGCTACCACTGCTTGGAGAAAAGAAAACTCAAGCGTGTTTTGTATTCGCAACTTTCAGCGATGGTGATATCGCATTGTGAGAATCACGCTCCCTAGCTCCCGGGTGATCAGCTCTAAAATGAACGTGCATGCTTACACCTTCCTGAGGTTGAGGCATGAGGTAAAACCCTTATATCGCTCGTATTTGACAAAATTAGAATTACTAACGCGTTGCAAACCAAACCTCGTATTGCTGTTCTACGACGATCATTCAGTTGACGACGGCCATATTGATGGGATCTAGTGCGCCCCCTATAGACCGTCAAATTTGCGAAACAGTTATAAACGTCAAGCATTAATGCGGTATTAACTGAAAGCGCAAAAATCCTTGCAACGTACCACTTTTTAAAGCTCCTATGTCAGTGTAATGTGGCGAAAACTCAAATCCTTGAAACCCGAAACGCACAACACTGAAGTGTACATTACAGACATTCCTCGTCGGCACTCTAAGAAAAAAACATAATTAAACACAAGTGACATTAAGCAATGCACGCGTGACGTTTTGCATTGCTTAATGACAGAACTCAACTGCGTTTTTTGGTCTAAACTTATGTTTCGGCATCGTCATTCGGTGAAATGCCTCTGTAAGTTGCGGTGATTGGCTCTCTGAGTGTTGTGCGGGAAAGTAGACGTACTGGCTTTTTTTTTTTTTGGTGTACTCTTGTCAACAATTAAGTGGTTCCGGTATAGGGTACACCGTAAAAGGTAATTCAATTTTAAAAAAATGAAATGAAAAAGGCAGTGCAAGTTAAGTACTAAAGACATTTATGCTTTAAACGTGAACTTCCAATGACCTGGCTAGAGAAAGACAATGTTTTCGCACCTAAAGTTCCGACATCCAAGATGGCGACAGCAAAATAGAAGGGTTGTAAAACACTTTTACAAAAAGATGGAGCCTCTACTCAATACTCCGAACGCCCTGCGACATGGTAAGAGAGCCAACACCACGAAAAAGGCATTTCTATTGCCACACATACTTACGAGGGCAGATAACTCGTGTTCTATACTTGTCGCCTTGATGGTGCCTTCTGGAAATACTACTGCCCAGTATTTTTCAGATCCACTAAAACAGGGCGAAATTTTTAAAGGTGTGTTTGTAAGCTCTCTATTGGTTTTGGCACACGTCACTGTACAATTGTTTTTAGGCCCGCCCCAAAAGGGCGCAATGCCTCTGGCACGGTGGTCTCTGGTCATCAGTGCGAGCTGTTCGTAGATTAACGCATCGTCTGTCATGAACAACAGTTTAGAACGTGCGAAATTAATGAGGTGAACGCTGGCAATTCCCACAACTGCGGCAAGTAGTGAATATATATTATTACAGGGTCCCTTCACGTCCGGCAGGATATGGAGAATGCAGTTGATTACCTCCAGAACGGTTACCCTTGTTTTCATCGTCTCATGTTGCAGTCTCACAGCCTGTTCGGGTATGTTCTGTGGTGGTGCAGGACACACCAACAGCCACGCCAGGCCGTTTTCAATGCCGTCGGGGACGATAAATATGTTTTCTTCTCCACTTGTTAAACCGCCATTTTGTAATGCGGAAACGCTTAGAGTCTAAATCTGAGCACATTCGCATGTCAAAGTAGACAACATCCCGCGAATCTTCTAAGAGCACAGTAAAGCAATAACAAGTAACGTATAGACAAGTGCAAGCATGACACCTCCTCTGATGCCGTACGTACAGCTTGCGAGTGGACATAGCCATGGCAAGCTTGAAATCGCACGGGCTTGTCTGCACGAGCAGAGACATGGCGGCGGCCAGTGGCCTTGCTTGCAATCGTCTATTGTTTCTGTTTAAAGAAGTACAATCAAACCAATCCAATCCAATTTCTTTTTAGTGAAATGTCATAACGTTTTTTTAACTGTTCTACAAACTCGGCATCTGGTTATTTCCCTGGTAAAGTGGGTTTCGGATATGCACAGGCAAAACAAGCCGCCCTAAAATTGAATTATATTTATGTCATCTCAGATGTTATTACGAGCCTTAGATGGGTATATCTATATTTGTAAATACATTCAAGCAAGTAAATGAATTGTACTATGTTATTTCGAAGCACGTGCATTCTGCGGAAACCATGTAAATGTGATACCAGAGTATTTGGAGGAACCTATATGGCTAGCTTTTTTTTTTTAATCGGCTGATATAGCAGCAAGATAAAAATTTGTCTTAGATCATTAACGTCTCTATACTGATGGTGTTAAGACCCATAACATTTTATCGTCAATTAATTCATCTCCGACCAACCCCACGGGGACTCCACGCCACCTGATTGACTCGCCTCTTGCGTACTTACGGGAGACGGACCTCCAGAACTATGTCTAACCCCCTGTCCCTTTCACTAAATACCACTAGGCAGGAGAGTGACCGCAACAACTAAAAGACATGTTTTCACTCGCTCTTTTCTCTTTTAGAAGAATAGTCTACGTTCGGTGAAACCCTCTCCTTTTGTTGGGGGGGGGGGGGGGCTTATTTATTTCAAGAGATATTCGTCTAGAGGAGCTTTTCAATTTAATTACTTTTAGAGGTTCACCAACCCCCCGGCAAAGAAGAACGGCTTGTACCTTTTTTGAATTACCCGAGCCTGTCGAGCATCACTTACACGATACTTCGGACCAGTCTATAGGGGCGTAGAAGGGATTTTTCATGAGCTCGTCGAAGCCGCCCTCTGGTCTGCAACCAAGTCTCCTCTTAGGATTCTGAATAAAGGAAAAAAGGAAAGTTAACGCGCCACAAAGGAACCTTACCAAACCCTGGGCCCCCTCATACATACCTCCTTGAGGATTTCTCTTAGCAGCGTTTGGGCCGATCTGGACAATGTCCTCGGAATTTTCAAGGGTGCTATCAAGGCCACTGATTAAACAAAGAGCAAAGCAGGGTGATTAGTAGGCACAGCAAGATTAGATAATGGTTAAAAAAATGCAAGACGATTCGATCCACAAAGGGGCTAACGCGTGTTTTTTTTTCTTTCTAATGTGTCATAAACGCAAGTTTCTCAATGTGTCCCAGAAACTGGGGACACATCGTTGTCCTGTTTTTGAAGAAGCGGGTTCTTGACATCCTCTAGGCTAGTCTTTTGAGGCGAGCTGTCTTTTATACCAGGCGTTGCCTCAGATACTGGTGGTGGATCTAGGGACAAGCCGCTTCCGTTGACCGATCCCAGGAGCCAGGATTCCGAATGCCACGGCCCTGCCTCATCTCCGTGCTGACCAAGAGACACACTGCTCATGTCCAGATCCTTTAGATGACCGTCGCCATTATTTCTGCTGTCTGAATCGGTCTGCTCGTCCAAAGATCTGGAGGACTCCTTGTCTTCTGGCGCCACGTCCGCTTTCCGCCTCTTCTTCGACACTTTCCGACGCCTGGGCGCTCTTCGAAGAATACGCTCATCCCAGCCGGCGTAACAATACTGGTCCATAACCAGGTAAAACTTGGACAAACGCAAACTAACAGAACCGGCGGCTACTAGCACAACTGCCAGAAACAGGAGGGTCATCCAGGCACCATGATAGTTACCCAACAGAGAGTCACAGAACACGTTAGTACCGCTTAACATCGCATTATAGACACCCCCGCACAGGGGAGTAGCGCTAAACTCGTTGGACATCTTATCTAGCAAACTGATTATATTTTCCGCTTTATGAACCAACTTTGCATAGAAGTCTGTGAGAGCCGGCTGCAAGAAATTGTCTTGATCAAAAGTGTTATTGAGTGTTAGTTTTATGTTGAAATGGTACAAGGCACTGTCTCCCGGGGCTGTACTCGAAGGGACACTCCAAATATGTCTTCGCTTCCCTCGTAACTCTTCCCCTTGAAATTGGAACACGATGCTCTTTCCGATGCGTGGCGAGGAGCCTGAGCAGCGTCGCAAAAGTTTACTCGGTATTAACGCCGGGCTGGCCGAGAGTAGCTTGGAAGCGACGTCGTTGAGGATATGCCTGTGCTTTCCAAGGTACGGCTCACAGATGTAACACTCTGCGACGACGCAGCCGGGCAGAAGCAGGCCTGCTAACGGGACCGCCACAATGCTCGAGAGGAACATTACAGCGGGACTGTAGAGCATGATTATACCTGCCTTGTGGGAGTACGAATTGCGAAGAGTGGGGGCCATCCCTCTGTCGTGATTCAGCATACCCATAGCAATAGCCATCACCAACAGTGCAGCAACAATACCGATACTCATCGAAAGCATCATCATAATCAAAGGTGCCAGACCGCCGTATATTTGGCCAAAATGCGTCCTCTTGTTGAAGCTCCGAAGCTTAGCCTTGACTTTCACCAGATGTTTCACGTTGCTGTTGTTGCCGCCTATTGCTTCGGCGACTTTCACGCGGAGTTTTCGTATCAGCCCCTTTCTTTCGGCTGAAGTATTTTTCTTGAAGTTTTCAGTCGCATTAGAGAGGAATTGTTCCTGCGTTTTCTCAAGAGTAGAACAATCGGCGTCGAGGAGGTCACTGTGCTCACTGAGCATTGCCCTAAGAACCTTGCCGCACGTGCGCCCCTTTGAAGCGAAGGGGTTAATATTCAACTTCTGGAGCAAATGTTGCTTGAATTCCTCGTTAAAATCCTTGCTCAGCCTTCGCGTCTGAAAAGCAGCGTCTCTGGCCGCTTGTCGCGAGCTGTTCCACCTTTGTGGCTGAGTACGAAAATATCTTTCTAGGCCGTCGAATGCTTCAGTGTAGAACACCGATGCCTCGAGCGCGGAGTTCTGGATACCAAAGGCGAAGCCGGCCAGCAGCACATTAACGATGATGAAGGTAACGGTGATGGAGCTCATCGCGATACAATAGCCGTTGTAGAGTTGCGCGTATAAAGGTGTGATCACCTGGACCCGTTGACCCCCACACCTCCCCGTCAAGCGAAGGGCTAGGAACAATAGCCACGTGGCGGTCATGAGTCCGCTCAGGGTGAATGTAGCCACCAGAAATCCGAAGGTGGACGGCTGATGCTGGGCCAAGCCGCTAACGACGCCATACGGTCCCCGTGCATTGGCGATCTGCTCCAGGAACCGACCATCTTTGGGCGTCAATGTGAGCTTGTGTGCGATGCGACGGCCGAGGTCGCTCCAGAATGGCAGGAAGCTCCCGTCAGTCCGCATCAAGCGAGCTGGTTTAGCTTAACCAAAACATGGCAACGAGATAGTTCGGAAGCCCAAGTTGCTTCTGTGTCACGAGGCCTAGCATGGCCGAAAACGAAGAAATCCTCGCGCGTGACCAACGCGCTCCAGTCTGAGCCGGCTTGGTGCGTGGATTTATAATTCATAAGATTTAGCTTTGACGTTCAAAATATAGGTATATAGATATGCTTTAGGTTCAATCACGTTCCCCTAGCTGTTGCGAGCACCACTTTAAAATATTTTGGAGTGTTTATCTTTTCATCTTTTGGCAGGAACAATTATATGATCTGGATTTGTTTCTTCGCATCTTGGATAACAGTGATCAAAGCACCTGCTCTGTTCGGAACAATTGGTTAGCATTCGGCGATTGCCATCGCCGTACTACGATTTGTCACGAACGCGAACGTGAATATCCGCGCCGTCGGGATGACTACTAGCGACGCGATGTTTCGGTCCTGCTCTCTTATGGTTCTTACCCATGGCGCCATGACACGGAGTATCACTTGCGAACGACAAAGTCAATGGTGTGCATACAAAACACGGCGGAAGCTCGGTGGAACCACGTTCCCAATGGGTCGAAGCGAAACTTGGTGCAGTTGAGATTCATAGCCTGAAACACGCGTTAGATTTCCTTTTTTCACGCAAAGGCAGTTGCAGAGAAAATTCGAGAAATACGAGCAGCGTTCACACCCTTAACTCGCAGCTAGAACAAGGACCACGTGATCTGGAAAATCAAATTTGGGGGTTTATCGTGCCAAACCAACGACGGGCATCTCGCACGCCCTTGTGGAGGACTGAGGATTAGTTTCGACCACCTGGGCCGGTTTGCTCATCTTGCGGCCGCGGCTGCGGCTGCGGCCAAGAGGGATTTTTATGTCACGTGACGAGCTCCATGGGGACAAGGAAGTACTTGCGTCCCTGCGTCCCAATGGCAGAGAAGTCCGTGCCGCTTCGAGTACAAAAGTCTAATTTCGCTCGCAGAAACTGATTGCAGAGGGTTTCAACTGAAGTCCAAATCTCCACCCCATCATACTTTAGGAGCGGCAGGTAAAGTTACGGCCAGGGAAGATATGTATAAGCCAAAATAAAGGAAAAATCACGCAAAACGAAAGCGGCGGTTGTGTATTTATATATATGTGGCAGCGAAAGTGGGAGCGTCGTCCGCGTAGTTGAACGGTCAGAGCGCCCGGACTTGTCGTCGCAGCGTGAAAGTTCCGGGTTCGAATCTCGGCGAAAGTTTCTTTTTTCTTTTATTCTGCACGTGTATTTATTATTTTAAGTGGGAGCTTTTCTACTAATCATCCACTAGGACTTACACGATTTTTACTGTTTGCACCACCTGTTGGGTCTACAAACCGGAAGAAAAAAGATTACGATAAGCCAAGTTAACTCCCTACTATAATCGTTTCATAATGTTCATTAAAAGGAAACCAAGGTCAAGCCAATTTAACGAGCAAATACGAACGTTTCATAATGTTCATTAAAAGGACACCAAGATTACAGCATCGGTATGACTTTCACACAAACGGGGCCGAAACAAGCATTATTTCCCAGCAACTACAATTTTATGTGTTTTTAAATATGCAACGCTCTTGCTACGACTCTTGTCAATAACAGGAGGCACCTATTTAGTATTACTACACACTGCAGTCGTGTCAATTAAAAGAAAAAAAATTTTACGAAATAAACACAAAAAAAAAATAGCAGCCATGGATGCATTGATTGAGCGAAATCCTACAAGCAAGGCAGCAAGTCGAACGTTTGAGAAAGTCGTAAAACCAAAATAAAAGAGATTATACGTTTTGCTTGCATGGAATGTGATAAAGTTATACTTTTACTCTTTACATATCGCTTTGGCAATCGTTTTGTAATATTAACACATTACGTGTTGAATTTTAGTATGAATAGAAGACGACCACTACCGAATGCAAAAATGAGTCAGACGTCGACATGGCTAACCATCTCTCAAACGCAAACACCTAAAATGACTTTGGATCGACAAATGGAATTAATTAAAGCAATTGGAGAACGAAAACAACAAATTTTAGAGCAATTCAGCAGCACAGTTACCTGGCGAACGAAGAGACAGGCAGGGGAAGATGATGTCAATGACATAAGCTTTCCGCGGAGTGCACGGCAGCTGCAGGAGTACGCGTTCCCTGCCTGGCATCAGATTGCCATACTGCCGATATATGCGTTCTCGCCGAGCAAGGCATCTCGACCTAGATGACATGTCTCTATGTTGGCACACACAGACAGAGAGTGTTGATAAGTCTGAAAATCAGTCGTAGTCAGTCCGTCAGTGGGTCGGTGAGTATGTCGCTGGAACGGTTTAGCGATCGGTCAAGAAACGGTCGGAAGAAATGCAGGTGCGAAAGAACCGAAAATGGCGCAAAACACGCAACAGGTAGGGTAGCCAGACGTTTTGGGACGCAAAAATACATTCGTTGCATTTAAAACTATTAAAATAGATTGAGCAAGAAACAAAGACTCAGACATAGCAAGGACGATTTGTAGAAATGATCACAGTTAAAAAACACAGACAAAAAAACGCGCAGAATAAAAAAAAAGTTTTCGCCGAGATTTTAATTCGGAACTTTCAGGCCCTGACGGGAAGTCCCGGCGCTCTAACCGTTGGACTACGCAGACGCCGTTCGCGCTGGCGCTGGCACACATATATATAAATACACAGCCACCGCTTTCGTTTTGTGTGATTTTTCCTTTATTTTGGCTTATA